CTTTCTATTTCTCTAAGTATACTTAAATATCTAACTGATTTGGAGTTTATGAATCAGACTGATCATAAATGATTTATAATTTTTAAGCATTCATTAAATGAGTGGCTCTGACAAGTGTTACAATTTCATGTCACCTATTCAGTTTGTATTATCTCGATGATATTTCATTCGTTTTTGGCAAAACAAATGCTTAATGTTACTCATGTATCATTATTTTAAACTATTTTAAATAATAAACCAAATGACTAGAGGTCACTGTCCTGAGATCCAAAGCCAGATTTATCTTTTCTTTATTAGTTGCTAGGATGATCATTCTTACAGCTGTGTTGATTTTGCAGCTCAGTATTTCGTTCTTGCTTTGTTAGATGGATAAGCATGAGGGAGATTCGCTTTTATCTGACTTCTCCCTCCCCTGCCCCCCTTTGTTCTTTCTTTATGTTAATCTAAGGGAGTTAAAAATTGCTGCTGAAATTTTTTTCTTGAAAAAGTCAAGTTTTGGTGTAGTGATATGCTAATCTTATCTATGATCAAGGTTTTTCATTACAGACCAAGCAATAATTTATAGAGTTGGCTTTTCAAGTTGTTTAAACATGACTGTGTTTTAGTTCAAAAGAAGTTTCATGTTTGTTTTTCACTTTGTAGGAAAAGGTCTGTATGAATTAAATGCTCAAATTTTTATTTTATTTCCTGTATGTGACAAGGAGCTCTGGTAGCGTAGTGGTTACAAATAGTGCTGTTAACCTGAAGGTCGGCAGTTGGAAACTACCAGTGGTTCCACAGGAGAAAGATGAGGCGTTCTGCTCCCGTAAAGATTTACAGCCTCGGAAACCCTGTGCAGGGTCACTATGAGTAGGAACTGACTCCATGGTACTAAACAACAACAATGTGACAATGTTAGGCTTGCTTTTATTTATTTATTTATTTTTAGCTTATACTTTAACAGAGAAACTAGGAGATATTTTGCTGTTTTTAAGGTCAATGAAACTCAGTAAGTTGAATTCATTCAATTGTCATTCTTAAGGAAAATGCTGTCCATGTGTACTTTGACTTTAGTTGGTGGTATTTATTTAGAGTTCTCCATGATCTATGCAGCAAAAAAAAAAAAGTTAATTTCTTACTTTATAATCTTGTAATGAGTATAAAACTTCACAAAATACCTTGGGCACAAAACTTTCATTAAGGGATCTGTGGATTAAGATATTCACATATGCCTTTAAAATGTAGTCAAAATATCGATGCCTGGACTTTTCCTTCAATGTGCAATCTAACAGAGGATATTTTATTCTGATCTGATAGCTGTTACTGCTTAGTTTGCCATGAAAACTTTACTGCTGCCCTTCTGTGTTCAAGTGAAACCAAGTAAAAGAAGCAAAGGCTTGTTGCTTTCACAGAACAGCTGCAAAGCTCTATGCTGGGCAGTGGTTAAATGAATGTGGAGTATTGACCTGTTGAAGTTAATCATGAGAACCTTTTAACGTTACTTGCCTTATAGGTTAGAAAAAGTGTGGATATCACTTTCTTTTGTAAATAATGATTTTTATAATTTTTGTTCTTTCATGGTTTCCTCAATCACCCATTTCACAAAATTCTGAATATGCAATTATTAATGACAATTTGCTGCAACTAGGGTTCCCTGTTCAGAACAAAGTTTTAATTGTGTACATAAGAACAAGATGAAATATCTAAGTAAGTTGTTATTTAAATGTGTTTTTTTTTTCTGGAAAATAAATGAAAATTATGAAAATAAATTGAGTTGTGAACCTCTTTTATTACTAGCTCTTAAAATTTACCTGAATTTTTGGAAAACTTGATTGCATTTTTAGGGTGGGTATTATGTGGTGTTGGAGGAGAATACTGAAAGTGCTATGGACTGCCAAAAGAACCAATAGATCTGTTTTGGAAGAAGTGCAACCAGAGTGCTCCTTGGAGGCCAAGATGGCTAGGCTTTGTCTCTCATACTTTGGACATATTGTCCGGAGAGAACAGTCGCTGGAGAAGGATGTCATGCTGGGTAAAGTGGAGGGTCAGAGAAAAAGAGGAAGACCCCTAACGAGATGGATTGGCCAGGTGGCATCATTGATGGTGTCAAGTGTGGCAGCGGTAGTGAGGTTGGCCCAGGATCGGACATTGTTTCGTTCTGCTGTTCATGGGGTCTCTATGAGTCGGTTCCGACTCGATGGCACCTGACAACAACAACAATGATGGGCAAAGAGTATTGGCACAGTCCATGGGTTTTAAAGAGTTGGAAAAATCCCAACTCCGTAATTTATCAAACTAAGCAAGTTACTCAATGATTCTCCATTTCCTTACCTGACACCTACGCCACACACACAAAATAAATGAGTTAAAATCCCCTATATCATAAGGAGTTTTGATGTGGTACTGTAGGATAAGCACTAGACTGCTAACTGCAAAGTTGGCGGTTCAAACCCTCCAGCTGCTCCACGGAAACCCTATACAGGGTCCATATGAGTCAGAACCGACTCTACAACATTTAACAACAATAACTACTACATGTGATTGGGAGAGAATGTGATGACTCCATAGAATAAGCACTGAACTGTGAAACATAAGGTTAGTGGCTCGAACACACCTGTCTATTCTGAGGGAGAAAATTGAGGCTTTCTGTTCCCACAAAGCTTAAAAAGCAAAACAAAAATCTCGGAAACTCTATACAGGGTCACTATGAGTTGGAATTGAATTGAGGGCTCTGGTAGCATAGTGGTTACGAATTGTTCTGCAAACCTCAAGGTAGGCAGTTCGAAACTACCAGCCATTCCGCCAGAGAAAGATGAGGCTTTCTACTCCCGTAAAGATTTACAGAACTGACTCCACGGTACTTAACAACAACAGGTGTCCTGGTGTGGCGCTGTGGGTTAGTGCGCTGGAACTGCAAAGTCGGTTTGAACTGCAAGGTGGGCAGTTCAAGCTCACCAGCTGTTCCTCAGAAACCCTATACACAGTAGCTATGGGTTGGAACCGACTCAATGGCACTTAACAGTAATAACAATATGTCATAAGAATGGTGCAAAACAATTTGCGTTCAACTACTAAAGGTTGGCAGTTTGATCCAGTCAGTAGCATCACAGAAAAAAAGACCTGGAAATTTGCTTTCATAAAGATGACAGCCAAGAAAATCCTGTGGAGTAGTTTTAACTCTGTAACAACTGGGTTCTCCATGAGTCAGAATCAACTCAACTGCAATGGATTTGGTTTTAGCTTTTAAATCATAGCATCACTAAGCACATTAAATGTGAATATTCTTAACAATTCCCACCCAGTACACTCTTCTTGTTTAGTATCATCGAGTCAGTTCCCACCCATAGCTACCCTGTATAGGGTTTCTGAGGAGCAGCTGGTGAGCCGACCTTGTGGTTCAAACTGACTGCAGTCCAGTGCATTAACCCACAGTGCCACACCAGGACTCCTGGTGCATAATAGATGTTTACAAACAAGTCTTTTCTATTTTTATCTCACAGTGAATTGGGATTGGATTAGGTCAGAAAATTTTTGTATTTTGTATTTTCCCTCCCTTGTTGACAAGACATTATACTAACACTTAATGTTATACTACAATCCTAATGTATGACTATTATTAGCTATAGGTGCAGTTAACAAGAATTGAATGAGAATTAGTACTCAATGACATTATCATATTCCTACCTGAAAAGACGGCCTGACTGTCTTCTACTGGAGGGTTCTTGTTAAAGTGCTGTTAGTGTGCATTCGATTCGTAGCAACCCTGTATAGGGTTTCTGAGGAGCACCTGGTGGGTTTGAACTGCTGACTTTGTGGTTAGCAGTCTAGTGCTTATCCTACAGCGCCTCACCAGGACTCCAGAAGGACCCCTATTGTTAAGTACCGTTGAGTCAGTTTCTACTCCAGTCACCCTGTGTAAAGTCTCCGAGGAGCGACTGGTAGGTTTGAACCTTCAGCCTTGAGGTTCAAACCGACCTTGCAGTCCAGTACATTATCCTGCAGTGCCACACCCGGACTCCAGAAGGGGTCCTACGGGGTGTTAATTTTATTTATTATGGGATCGATCGATCGGGAGGAGCTATAGACCTGAAAGGAGTCCTGGTGTGGCGCTGTAAGATAAGTATTGGACTGCAAGATCCATTTGAACAACAAAGTCTGTGATTCAAACTCACCAGCCCCTTCTCGGAAACCCTATACAGGGTCTCTATGAGTCGGAATTGACTTTAGGACATTTAACAAGAACATTGACCTGGGTAGGGTGTTATATAGAGGCTGACTGACGGGCCTTTTTGTCAAGGCTAGTGCATTCTTAAAGGAGCTCTGGTAGTAATGGAATTTTTCCAAGAACTTTTGAAGTCCCCTCTTGTTGTTTCCTTTTATAAAATCTCAATTTTCGAATTCTGTAAAAGGAGAATAATCCTTTCTAGATAGAGTTGTTGTTAAATTTTGTTGAGTCGGTTCCGACTCATAGCGAGCCTTTCTTTATAGGGTTTCTGAGGAGAGGCTGGTAAATTTGAACCGCCCACCTTGTGGTTCAAACCGACCTTGCTGTCCAGTGCTTATCCTACAGCGCCGCCACCAGGACAGAATCTGGTATCTGCAAGCGTTCAAGTATCTGTCAATCATCTATGCCTTGGAGACAGTGCTGGAAAGCAGCATTGTTATTATGCGCCGTGGAATCGGTTCTGACTCATAGCGATCCTGCGTAGGGTTTCCGAGGTTGTAAATCTTTACAGGAGCTTCTTTCTCCAGCGGAACAGTTGGTAGTTTTGAACAGCTGACAGTGAGATTAGCAGCCGGATTGGTAACCACTACGCTACCAGAGCTCCTTGGAAAGCGGCATTAGCGGCCTGGAAAGGGAAAGAGCTGCTCGCTCTATTTGTTCTGTGCGTTGAGTTTCACATGCCAAAGCACCTCAGCATTTCCCACTAATGTCTCTGCCATCTTCGAGAAAGGGGGCTTTAAGAGGACTCCTAACGGCTTCATTCTGAGTTCCAGATGTTCTCTTCGCTATAGGAGAAATGGCTCACCTCCAGCTCGCGGCCACCCGAGGGCGCATCTGGGCTCAGGGCGACGACTCCTGCCAGCGGCGAGGGGATCATTTACATCTGTGGGGTGGCTCAGAGGACCCCGCTGTGGCTAAGTCCAACCGGGGCGGGCCGAGGGCACTGTTTAAGGAGGTTACCCTGGAGACGGGCACCGGCGCCTCAGACAGAAAACCTGGGGAGGTGGGAGCTGCGCAGAGCTCTAGTGCCCGCAGTGGACGAGCCGAATGTCCAGAGGCCTCCGCGGAGCCACGACCCCTGTGCAGCCTTGAGTGAGTGAGGGACCCCCTCTTCGCAGCGCATCGGGGCTGGAGGGGAGGAGCAAGAGAGACAACTGCCAATTCTGGAGGTCACAGTGGCTGGGAGAGAGAGCCGCCATGCGCTAAGACCTGCCTTGGCCCTCACCACTCGCCGCTTTACTTTTCCTCTCCTCAACAAATAAGAAAAAGTGGTCCCTGGCCTCTGTCCCTGCCAGCCTGAATTCAGAGGGTGGTACCCAGTGTAGAGTGTTCTTGCAACCACAGAGCTAGAGTACTGAGCGCCTTTTGGCAGCAACCTTAACCTCGTAGGTTCTCCAGGTTCCAACTCTAGTATTACTTGTTGGGGATCAGGAAGGAGAAAGAGGGTAGTGAGGAGCTGCTTTGAAAACTGCTAAAGAAATCAACCATGTTTCAGTTACTTTGGAGCTGAACCTGAATGGTCCACTTAATCAGGCTCAGAGTGCGGCTCTCCATCAACTAGGTGGGTGCACACACAGACACATTCCTATTCACCCATCCAGACATTCATACACAAACATGTACTCATATTCACCTATTGAGATACACACACACAGGCTGTCATACTCCCCTACACATACGCATAAAATACAACACCGTTATTTACACACACACACACACACACACAAAACACTTTTAGGGAAGTCATTTAACTTTATTTACTAAAGAAACAGCAATAGCAAATGCTAATTACCAAAACTTTTATCAATGTAAGTACTGGGGACCAATGAAAAATATTGTGCCAATGAAAAATATTGGTTTCTGGTTCAAAGTAATATCATTTTTCTCTCAGTGGCTTTCTCCCTCTTCTCCAGTTAAGGATTTTTGCTAAAGCTTTAATAATTGCAAATGTGAATTGAGTATATAGTTGCATAAATGAGTTATCAGTTATTGTAGTTCCAGTTACACTAGACAAACTTAAATATACTGTAAATCACTCTTGAGGAAACGTGACTTCCACATTCAAAAATGGTAGGAAAAATATGCACTTCATTTGAAAATTAGTCCGTTATATTAACAGCCCTGACATCCTGGTGTGGCGCTGTAGGATAAGCATTGTACTGATAACCTCAAGGTTGGTAGTTCAAACCCACCAACTGCTCAAACCCACCAAACCCTATACAGCATCCCTATGAGGTTAACCTTTAATTTCATTTTTCCATGAAATTTTTTGAAGAACCCTTATCATATACAATGTATTTGCTATTATTTCAAACAAACTTGGTAAGCAGAACAGACTCTTAACAACATACGTGTTTCACTGTAGGATAAGTACTGGACTGCTAAACTGCTAACTGCAATGTCAAGCAATTCATACACACCAGCCACTCTTGAAAATCCTATATAGGACTGCTATACTCAGAACCCACTCAATAACACAACAGCACACTAACTAAAATGTTTTCATATCTTTCTTTTACTATTTTACAAAAATCTTCCATAGGGTGTGATCATGTCAGACATTGCCAAAGATCAAGTAACTCATTCATTGAAGAAAAGAGGGAGTGCATCTTCACTAAGTAGTCATGAATTTCGACAGAAGGAACGTCCTGGGCGACCCAAAGGGTGAGTAACTGAATGTTTAATGATTTAAATTCAATTACTGAATAAACAACTTCATGTTTATGGAATAGGGCAGAGGGATCATTTCTTCTGGGACATAAAAATGGAGAAAATGGACAAGTACGTGGTTCAGGTGATGTTTCTAAGCCATCTTTAAAAAGAGAGAATCAGAAAGTGTAAATGATTTGTTGATTCTAGCAGCATTTTCACTGTTTCAATGACTTTACAAAAAAAAAAAAAAAAAATTTTAAACCCAGCTCCTCAAAGAAACATCATTTGCAGTGTATACCAGCTATTGTTTATAAACTTCTTTAATTTTTCTCTTTAATATTATATATTTACTTTTGTTTATAATAAATACATATGTTGTTGTTGTGAAGTGCTGTCAAGTTGGTCCGACCCATAATGACCCTGTTTAGGGTTTCCAAGGAGCTTGAATTGCCAACCTTACAGTTCAAATGGCTTTGCAGTCTGGTGCGTTAACCCACAGCACCACACCAGGACATATATATATTTGAGGGGTCTTCAAAATGTTAATGGAAAAATTTCATTTTTCCATGAAATTTTTTGAAGACCCCTTATCATATACAATGTATTTGCTATTATTTCACTCAAACTTGGTAATATGTATTCTGCTTTTGTTCATTTTCTTTTAAATGGCTATTATAATTGTCAATTATAATTTGTGAGTTAGCTAATGATTTCCAAATTATTGGGCATTTCAGTTGGTTTCTACTGGATGGTTAGTTTCTTTGGTTTACATTAAAATTATTTAATTTGGGAGTTTTTTTTTGCTTTGTTTTTGGTTCCAATCCTTGCTTTCCATCACCAGTAACTATCAATACATCTTGATTGCATGTTTTATCCATTTCAGACTGAAGAAGAATTCTTCAATTTCATCATCACTGGTGTTAGTGGTTGGAGCATAAATTTGGATAATGGGTCTTCCTTTTGTTGTTGTTGTTAAATGCAGTCAGTTAGTTCCAATAATTCATAGCAACCCTCTGTAGGGTTTCTAAGGAACAGCTAGTGGGTTTGAAACACCAATCTTTCAGTTAGCAGGCCAGTGCTTATTCTACAGTGCCACACCAGAACTCCTTGTAGACATATGGATATTATCTGATCACAGACAGCGTTGCAATTCAAGATAGATCTTGAAATGTTCTTTTTGATGATGAATCCTACGCCACTACTCTTGAATTTGTCATTCCTGTGGCTAAACATTCAGAAGTAGTCAGTTTCTCCTTACTAGTATGTCTTAATTTGGAAGCTCAGTTGAAACCTGTCCACCATAAGTGACCTTACTGGATTTAAAATACCAGTGAATTATATGAAGAAGAGTGTGGCATCAGGATTGGAGGAAGACTCATTAAACAACCTATGATGTGCAAATGATACAACCTTATTTACTAAAGCAAAGAAGACTTAAAATACTTACTGATAAAGTTCAAAGACAACAGTCTTTAGTACAGATTGCACCTCAATGAAAGAAAAACAAAAAACCCTGGCAAATGGACCAATTAATAACATTATAGTAAATGGAGAAAGAACTGAGTTTGTCAAGGACTTCATCTTACTTAGATCCACAATCAGCACTCATGGAAGCAGTAGTCAAGAAATAAAACATACTACATTAGATAAATCTGTTGCATAAAACCTCTTTAAAGTGCTCAAGCACAAAGATATCAGTTAGGGGAATAATGTGCACCTGCTCAAACCGTGGTCGTTTCCAATAATCTCATATGCATGTGAAAGCATGTGAATAAGGACAACCATAGAAAAACATATGCATTTGAGGTATGGTGTTAGAGAATATTGAAAAGTACCATGGAATACCAGAAGAATATGCAGGTCTGTGTTGGAAGCATACAACCAGAATGCCCCGTATAGGTAAGGATGACAAGACTTCATCTCTCAGGAGGGACCAGTCCATGGAGAAGTACATTATTCTTTGTAAAATGGAGGGTCACCAAAAAGGAGGAAGATCGCAGTGAGATGGGTTAGCACCATGGCAGCAGCAATAGGCTCAAGACTAACAATTGTGAGGATGAAGATGGACCAGGCAGTGCTTCATTCTGTTTCGTTTAGGGTCATTATGAATCAGAACCAACTAGATGGAACCTAACAACAAGAGCCACAATGATGGACATTTTTATCCCTGTGGCTATGAAGCAGGAGCTGGTATGTCTTGTCCAACAGACATTGGAAGAGGATAAATATACATTATGGTTCTAAAACTAAACTCTTTCTGTTCCCAGAGTTTATTAATGCACTTATTAAGAATTGCACTTTCTTAATTTCAAATCCTGGAAATTTGTGGATCATAAATAGAATCTCCTTGTTTTATTGCTGGAAACAATATAAATGAGTAGAATCTTAGCTTATGTAAGAAGTATAACTGGAAGAATAATCAATCTATATAATTTTTTAAATTTTGTTTTTGTTTTGACCCTAAGCCATTCTAGCTTCAATTTCCAATATTTTAAAGTACTTTGAAAAGAATTATTATCTTAAACACAACTTAATTTTTCAGGAAAATATTTATAATCATAATATTACATAAACCATATCCCCAAGGAGTGGTGCTGTGGGTTAATGCACTGGACTACAAAGTCCATTTGAACTGCAAAGTCAGTAGTTTAAGCTCACCAGCCGCTCCTTGGAGTTGCTCTGGGTCAGAACTGACTTGATGACACTTAACAACAACAAGTATTCCCATGATTTTTTTTTAAAAAAAGGTATCATCCTCAAACCAAATTATCATCCTTATTTGAATAATTTTAACTTATCTTCTCCTTGTTAAAAACTTAGGATAGTCTTATAAAATCAGTATGACAAATCTGAAGAAGTGATTGCTCTTTTGCAGCTCAATGTTGATGAAGTATAAATATAAAAGTAACAAGAATACAGACAATCCTTGCTTTACTAATGTCCAATTTATAGACAATTTGCACTTGCCATTGAGTGTGATATAAATTTGCCCTCACTTGGAAACTACTGAACCAAATCCTACTCGCAACAAATTACTCATCATAGCCATCTTCACGTGTTTCACATGCAACTTTTAAATCACTGAGAAGACTTAAAGCTTTTACTTGCACTTAAGTAAGGCACCTCTTTCAATTATCTACAAGTTTGACTTAAAGATACACTTAGGTATTGGTCTCATTCATAACCTGGAGTCTACTTTTTTCTAATATTTTACTAACAAGTACATTTATGTTACCATTATTTTTATATATTCCAAAGTTATCAACTTAGACTCTCAAACAAATTGTTCAGAACCCTTTGTTTACAGATTTTGTTGTTGTTAAATAATAAATGAGCAGAGTCTGTTATCCTTGCCATATAGTCTATTTAGAGTGCTGCCTCCCCAACTCTAACCTGTCTCCTCATGTCTGGAATCAAACTCTACAGGTGATTTTTCTTCGTGAAATGAGTCTTGAAGTAGTAGATTCATTCTGAAATTTGGTGTTGTTAAGAGTTGGTTCCAACTCATGGAGACACTGTATAAGATTTCCAAGAAGTGGCTGTCAGGTTTGAACTGCTGACCTTGAGGTTAGCAGTCCAATGTTTATCCTTCAGCACCACACCAGGACTCCAACTCTGAAACATATTGACAAAGAATGCACAAAAAATAGGGACTAGATCTACTTTGAAAGCAGCTTCTTGGGTGTGGCATAAGATCAGATAAATTCATCTCTACAGTCTTCATTTCTATGTCTACAATCTTCTACAGCAAGAACTCATGGTTAACAGTGATCCTTGGACATCATGAATGTCTGAAATGCCTTCGTACTTGTGGCAAGAAGAATACATTTATATCCAATATAATTATGGTTAATCATTTTCTGGATTGAGTTTTCATTTAAACCATATTTCATGTTAATATAATTTTTTGTTTTGTTACCCCCCCAAAAAAAAGAAACACATCTTCAGCTGAATCTTATAACTATTAACATGTTGTTATGTTTCTTTCTATACTATATAGTTCTCACAATACTTCACTTATAATTTTGAATTTTGGGTAGTTTTTTCACTTATATAATTAATAATAATAAAGATAGTAATAATAGTGAGTATTTATTGAGTCTTTACTCTGGACCTCATTTAATTCTCATAGAAACTTTATATAAGGGTTGACAAGTCCAGACTGTTGTTAAATGAAGTTGCTTCCGACTCACAACAACCCTGTATAGGATTTCTGAAGAACAGCTGGTGAGTTTGAACCATCAACCTGTGGTTCATATCGACCTTTCAGTCCAGGGCTTGTCCTACAGCTCCATACCAGAACTCCAAATCCAGCTTACCACGTCTTAATTTATGGTCTCCTAGAAAACTAGATTACATGTTGAGCTGTTACAATTATAGTAGTCTAAACCCACCAGCTGCTCCATGGGAAAAAGAGGAGGCATTGTGCTCCCGTAAAGATTTACAGCCTCAGAAACTCTATACTGGTCAATAGGAGATGGAATGGATTATTGACTCTCCAGCATTAATCCTACTAGGTACACATCATTATTGAGGTCCTGGTGTGACACTGTAGGGTAAGCACTGGACTGCTAACTGCAAGGCCAGCAGTTCAAATCTGCCAGTGCTCCTCAGAAACCTATACAGGGTCAGAACTTACGCAGCAGCATTGACAGCAACAATAACAAAAGTATGGCTTTCACATGGTGGAAAAAAAATCAAAAGGAAAATGATATTTTGTGACATGTGGAAATTATATGAAATTTAATCTCCAGTATCCATCAATTAAATTTTCCTGGAAGACAGTCATGCCTATTCCTTTATGTATTATCTCAGGCTGCTTTCACATTACAATAGCAGAGTTGAGTAGTTGGCACGAAAAGCCAAAATGTTTGCTATTTGACCTTTTACAGAAAAACTTTGCCAACCCCTATTATGTAACATAGAACTATAAGATACTATTATTATCTTCATTCTGCAAATGAAGAAATGGAAATTTAGAGAGGCTGAGATCTCAGTGCTAAAAAATTAGC